GTGGAAAGTAGCGCACCTTGCTGCGGCATTGTATCATGCGACACACTGAAAGAGTCGGACTAAAGTCGAATTTGGAGATAGAGACAAAACATCGCAAGAAAAATGTTGTTGTTATAGGTGAAAAAGGCCATGAAGAGTTCCTTGTGAAGGCACTCCAAAAACCAAGTGGAATTTTCCCTCGCCGACATTTGTGACAGATGTACGACGGAAATTTAAACGCGTAACAGTCCTTTCGGTTTTTCAACTTCTTTTCGTTTTTATCGTGTGTGATAGGTCTCATGCCAGTGATTTATAAAAAAGGATAAAGCATTTGCCGTTGATCAATCCCTTTTTGGGATGCGGCACGCATTCTACTTCCATTTGTACATTCGTAGTGGCGTTTGAATGCGATGTGGCCTATACAATGACTTGCGGGGGCCAGCCGATGTACAAGTCAGTGTTTTTATCCTCCCAGACAAGTCTGGTACCAATTAACCGACCCCGGAGGGATGGAAGGCTTGGTTGGCCCGGGCGACTCACGACCCAGGATTTGATCCCCGGACCGCTCGCGTGGTAAGCGTGCCACTACACCAGTGATTTATGGGTGAGATAAAATCACGATTTTTCGTGGACGATTTTTTAAAAAGACAGCAAAATGATAAAAAAATGTAGTGTAGAGCTTTAGTCTGGATCATTCCTTTCAGAGATGCTCTCAGGCATTGTAATTCCACTCAGGCTCATAGTAGCATCTGATTAGGATTTGGTTCTAGAGAGTGTAAAGGATAGCCAATGTATATTTCCGTTTCTTAATCTTTCCCAGAAAAGTTTCCTGCTAACCAAAGCCCGGATGGATGAGGATGCTGAGGTGGGCCTGCGGCTGGACGCGACTGGACAGGGTCAGAAACGAGGATGTCAGAGCGGTCATGCAGACTGCCCCTGTCCAGCTGAAGGTACGGGAACAGCGTCTGCGATGGTATGGGCATGTGCTAAGGAGGCCACAGGACCATCCAATAAGAACAGCGATGGACTTCGAAGCGCAAGGCAAGCGACCGCGAGGAACTTGACCCAAGGAAAAGTAGCTTACTTGATTAGGAACATTGACCAAAAAAATTTAGCGGGGGGATGTACAAGGAAGAAGTTTGCCAAGGGAATTTGCTTGCTAACTCTATCGTTTTATCTACTATCACAAAATCACTGTCAGCTTTAGTATATTCGCTGTGTCGCTACTTGCTATTGCAAGAACTGCCGGAGATCAAAGGACTCACTGGTCGAACGTTGAACAAGGAAATCCCGTAGTACACATTCATTGAATAAAAACAACAAGTCACTCAACAATCAACAAAAGTATGCAACGGTACTCATTTGGAGTTTAGGATGAATCTTCTTGATAACAGAGGTAGAGAGATAGTAAGAGTGAGAGAGGTCGTGAAGACTTTCAACTATTCTGTACATTTACAAGTAGACTTAGGAATGCGACAGACTATCATCCTGGATGATTTAATCACATTAGAAAATACAAAATGAACCAAATGCCTACAAAGTTGATTACTTTACTAACAACAGACATCAGCGTTAACGCCATGGACGTTGTCCACCCTGTCCAGAATATCCGCCTCCTCGTCCTCTTGGAAAATCTCCTCTATATCCTCCTCCTCGAGGTGCTCTTGTCATATCCAGAACTCGAGAAACCTCTCGCTGGTGCACCTCCGTAACCTCTATCATAACCGCCGCGAGGAGACCGCGATCTTGCATTCCATACGGATTCCGGACGATATCCTCCTCCTGCTCCTCCTCCTCCTCCACCCGCATACATTCCATTCTGTCCTCCACCATAACCACCACGATTGTAACCACCTCCTAGAAATCATATCAAATAGTGATCAAACCTGAAGCTGCTCAGGAGAACAAGGCATTTCTCACCTTGGTAGCCAGCTCCTCTACGCATCAATTATCCCTTCCTCGACCTCCGCCGAAGTTAACGGTCTCATCTGAAAATTTTGAAAATAAATAAAAAGTTTCACCATCAGCCCTCGTTACTTCAAAAAGTTGGCTAAACACAGGCGACAGCACCAATCTTCACACTACTTCAAACTTTACTTTTTGATGCAGTAAATTGCTTAAGGGCGGTCTTGTGAAAAAAAAAATGCGGTCATTTCACTGGTACACTCAATAAGAGGTGAGAAATACGACCGCCTAATACGACCGCCAGTGAGCAAAAAAGAAGAGTCATAAAACAACTGGAACTGAGCGCTTATTTCCCTATCACACACGAGCTCAACAAGACGAAGTGTGTGAGAGAGCACGACATACGAGAGGGCACAGGCTCCATGTGGGGGTGTCCCCCAAGAGGTCCGTCGTGAGGAAGAGACGCAGACGCGGCAAAGGACGAGTCGCAGCGCATACTGTAGCGGTTAGGGCGTCAGGTTAAATAGAGTGTACCATACTACGTCTCATATCGCACAGCACGCGCTGCGACTCGTCCTTTGCCGCATCTGCGTCTCTTCCTTCGCCGCGCGACGGCCTCTTGGGGGACACCCACCATGTACACTGCTGTAGTAAGAATGGTCCCGGTCGCAACGACCAAGACAGCCTTGGCACCTTTGCGAGCAGCTTCAAGGCGCGACATTACCACGACTTATTTGAGTATTTGGGGGCCGCTACGTCACTCACAGAAAAAAAATCGCTCAGAGAATCTTATCGCAGGCTGTACCTCCAAATAAACCTCTCCCATAAAAAACATATTCAACTAACCATAGCTGCGATTGTCAGATCGCACATTTTGTTGGATGAAACGATGACCAGAACTATCAAGACTTGCTCTACCTGGCACGTCTCTAGTGAATCCTATTTGTGGACGATAATCAGAACCACCCTGCAAAATAAAAGGAAGAATTATTAGCATAAACATAATGCCATTCAACAAATTAAACATCAACAACTAAAGCTCACCCTTCGGTCGTTGAAATCGCGAAGAACACGAGGAATCTCTTTCGCATTCTCCAACCGCTTTGCAGGGAAAATAAACCCTTCAGGATATTGAGGATCTTCATAAATCACCATCATTGCTCCATTGACCTGCAAGTTGTTGCGATCTCTAGGAAAGATAAGGCAAGTGACAGAGTTTACAGAAACTTTGAATATTATCACCACAACATACTTCATGACATAAATAATGAAGATGAAACTAATTTACAACTCAAAATATTAATGAAAATGAGAAGAATTAAAAAACGCCCTGAAACTTACAGGCAAATCAGGACACGATTTGTCATTGACGGGAGAGGGAAACGGCAAGTCTGGAGCGAGAGCCGTCTCGTCAGCCGTTATCCTTCCACTTACTCCGTATGTAAACGCGGGATCAATGTC